CTCAAGAGTACAATCTTAAGAAAAAGCTAATTTATACATTTGGGGCAGAAGTCCTTTATTTTGTCTGCCTTGAATCCATCTTTGATCCTTCGTGAGGTTGCCTCAGGTTTTAGTATATCATGGACAATATTAGTGGGACTCAACGGTTGTTGAGGAAAGAGCTGTGGTGGTGCAGTGGTTAGAATGTAGTAATGCAGACTCACTGCTCACTCCAGGAGTTCGATTCTCACCGCCTCAAGATTGACTCAGCTTTCCATCCTTCTGAGGTCACTAAAATGAGGGCCCAGATTGTTGGGGGCAAGATGCTGACTCTGTAAACTGCTTAGAGAGGGCTGTAAAGCACTGTGAAGCGGTATATAAGTCTACGTCAGGGGTGTCAAACTCAATTTCATTGAGGGCCGCATCAGCATTGTGGTTGCCCTCAGGGGGCCGGGTGGGTGTGGCCAGGGTGGGTGCGGCCTACTGGGTGGGCGTGGATGGAATGGGTGTGGCCTACTGGGTGGGTGTGGCCAGCTCTACATCGTTCCCGTCAAGGGTGCCTGTGGGGGGCCTGGGCAGGAGTGGGACAGATCTGAGGGTCTCTGGCAGAAGGGGGTGGGACCAGGGCAAGTGCCAAGGCATGGTCCACTGGAGGAGCCTCACTGTTCCTCTCAGGCCATGCGGGGGGGGGGGCGGCCTTGTGGAGCTAAGACTGCGTTTCAGCATAGATGGCCACCACAAAATTGGACATTGGCTCCTGGCCAGCCTGGGCCAGGGCCAAGGCAGAGGGGGCCGTTCCCTCACTGTTTCCAGGATGGCTTCGCGGGCCACATGAAACATGCTGGCTGGGGAATTCTGGAAGTTGGAGTCTACACATCTTCAAATGGCCAAGGCTGAGAAACACTGCAATATGCTGTGTGTGTGTGCGTTTTACCAAACAAGGAAAGGTTTTTGCATTTTTTATTCATGTCTTTTGAGACGTACAGTATGTATGATTGGAATTTTATGTAGGTTGGTTTTAAGCGCCTCTTAGTTTGCCTTGCTAAGTGAACATACATGAGTCCTAAGGAAGTTATTTGAATCCCTTTGCGTTACTTTGAAATAAGCGAAAGACCAGAATTACGAGGTCAGATGATGTTCTTTTCTGTCATACGCATCATAATTGTAACTTAGTAAGTGCAGTAGTACATTTAGTTACATTCTGAGTTGATTCATGCGTTAAAGATAGAGTGGAACATTTTATGTGCTTTTTCTTTTCTGTATATGCTTTCACATGTGAAATCAGAAAGGACATGATTCCATCATTTACCATCCAAAAATGTAGCGCCTGTACAAAATGTATTCTTGGTATTAATTGTACTTTCTGACAAATGTTGTCTAGGCATTTTGGAACTGGGTGGAAAACTATCCGGATGAATTTACTAAGCTATACCAGACACCACAGACAGATCTGTCAGGTAAGGGTTTATCCAACCAGAAAGAGACCTTGCCAGATAAATTTTGTTCGTTACATCCAAGAGTGTCTCCTTACATGGCTAAGCTCACATAATTGCAAACCAACCATGTTAATCTTCTAATGTGACTTGTTTTGAACATGGTCTCTGGATGCGAGTACCACATTACTGAAAGGAACTCTGAAGATTCACCTCTCACCAAAACCACATCCCTCACCTCATTAGTTTGATGAATTTGTGGCTCTGTAGCTGCCAGGACTCCAGTTCCTCTCAGTCGCTGCCAGAATGTTAATAGTCATGCCATTTTGGTTTAACCGTTTGTGATTACGCAGCATCTTTCTGGAGGGGAAAAAATTGGCATTTAAGCTTGTGTCATTAAGGCAAAAAATGGTCTTCTGTGTTAACATCTGGCATGCAGATCTCAAACTGGTCCTACTCAATGTTTTTTTTTTAAGAGAAAATGTTTGTACTTCTCAAAATGTTCCTCAGCCTGTACTTGGGTAAAAAAAAAAAAGCCAGGCTGAATGTTTAGGCTGGGTTGTGTTTTCTTCTTGAAGGTCGTAATTACTTAGATTGATTTATTTCCTTCCCTCCCTCCCTCCCTCCCTCCCTCTTTCTTTCTTTCTTTCTTTCTTTCTTTCTTTCTTTCTTTCTTTCTTTCTTTCTTTCTTCTTTCTTTCTTTCTTTCTTTCTTTCTTTCTTTCTTTCTTTCTTTCTTTCTTTCTTTCTTTTTCTTGCCTGCCTGCCTGCCTTCCTTCCTTTCCTCCCTCCCTCTCTCTCTCGTCTAGGACTCACGTACTGTTAATTATTGATATTATGTGTTAAACATGAGAGGGACTTTAGCATTTATCCTTCTTCTGTAAGTGGAACTCAGCATGTTTTGTGTCATCTCATTTCTTTGGTTCAGATTGTGCAGAGAAGCTGTTTGATTTGGTAGATGGATTTGCTGAAAGCACGAAACGCAAAGCAGCTGTTTGGCCCTTGCAAATTATCCTCCTCGTCCTTTGTCCAGAAATCATCCAAGACATTGCGAAGGATTTAGTAGAGGAAAACAAAATGAACAAGGTAAAGAAAGCTGAAATATCTCCTAATGAGGGTTCTTTAGATGGAGAGTTGATTTATTTTAAAACAAACACAGAAGCAAGAAATGTAAGTGCAGTCCTGTTGGAGCAAGCTACTGTAATCTTCTGTATTGGTCTGTTTCAAGAGGTCCTTTTGGGAAGCTCATCCATTCAAGGAAGAGGGCAATCTCCCACTCTTCTCCAGCAGCTGCTACGCAAAGTATGCTGCCTGCATGGTTATGGTGGTAGTACATAGCCATCAAGAGCCAAGTATGTGGATTTGATGATTGGTAAAAACTATTGACCATCTGAAAAATGGGTACTACAGTATAAACTTAAACTAAGCTAAGTGAGTCCTACCTGTATTATATGTTGGTGAGCAGTCCATCTCTTTAATATGCTTCTTCTTCTTCTTGTGCCGTATCCGTTATTGGACGTTGGTGATCATGTTGGCGATCCTGTTTTTATCAGCAGCCGCACGAAAAAGTGCTGCTGAGTTTTGTCCAAACCAATCACTTAGAACAGGGCTTTTCAACTTTTCGCCCATTGTACCACTTTTAGGATATGGCAACATCCGAGTACCACCAGTCGCCTAGCAAGGTGTCAAAAACTTGATGACCCCCCCCCAAAAAAGGAAAAAAGTGATAAAGTACAGTTAGTCCTAGACTTACTAGTTCGCTTAGTGACTGTTCGAAGTTACAATGGCACTGAGAAAAGTGCCCCCCCAAGGCACAGCCGAGCAAGACACCTGCCTGCCCGCCCAGTGGCGCTCTTCCTCTTTTCCGAGGTTTTCATTGTTGTGAACATTTCTGTTGAGGATTGGCAGCGGGGGTGGGGTGGGGGTGTTTGGTTTTTATTCCCCCATCTGCTGGGTGGTTGCAGCAGGTTTTGGTCACTTCACATGACCCTGGGACACTGTGACCATTATAAATATGAATCAGTTGTCAAGCATCTGAATGTAAATCACAAGACCCTGGAGATGCTGCAACATTCCAGCTGATTGGCGCTTCTTCAGGGCTCAGCAGAAGCGTCAGGATCAGCACTGAGCTTCAGATGGAGCCTGGCGCTGATCCTGGCGCTTCCACTGAGCCCTGACAGCCCCGAAGAAGCGCCGATCAGCTGGAAAGCGGCTCTGATCCTGGCGCTTCAGCTGAGCCCTGACAGCTCTGCAGCTCCAGCCATCTCTCACTCAGGCTTGTGTGGTGCTGCCACCGGTTCAGCTCATTCCCCTCCCCCACTACCATTTTTCTAGGATGGTCGTGTACCACCTGCCAGGTGCCAATGTACCACAGGTGGTACCCGTACCACTGGTTGAAAAGCCCTGCCTTAGATTTTGAAGCCATGTTCTTCTGCCTGGACCTCGTTTGCCTTCAATTTTTCCCTGGAGGATTAAATGGAGTATGCCGTATTTTTCTGGGTGTCGCATCACATGTCCGAAATATTCTAATTTTCGTTTTTTAATTGTTTTGATGATTTCTCTTGGCTTTCCCAGGTGGCTTATCACCTCCTCATTTCTGATCTTGTCAACCCAGCTTATACGTAATAGCGGCCTGTAAATCCACATTTCAAATGCTTCTAGTCTCTTCAGGTGGCCTTCTGTCAGAGGCCAACTTTCTATCCATAGAGCAGGATAGAAAAAATATGGCATCTGTCAAGCCTGATTTTCAGTCTTAGGCTTATGTCGTGACTGCAGAAGACCTTTTTCATTTTGAAGAATGCTGTTCGAGCTTTCTCTATCCTTGTCTTTACTTCAGTGGTCATGTCCCAGCTTTCATGTAGATTAGAACCGAGGTGCGTCATCCTTTCAACTTTAACATGCCAGTTTTTTTTATGCACAGAATTATTTTCTATTAAGGGATTTCCAGCCCACTTTATTTCAGAAATCTAAATGATATGATTAGATATTAGATTTAATCCTCTGCCCCCAAATTTTGTTTTTTCTCCTGGAGTATAACAGTGCAAAAGTGGTTTTGCACTCCAAAAGTGGTTTGGACTCAGAATATGTTAGAATCTTAACCTTAACAAAAACATCTTTTGCATCAGTAATGTAGGAGATGATGAGCCTGAGCCTGAGGGAGGGGTCATCAGTCTTGAGTCCCTTGGCATCCACAAGAGATGCCCATCTTAAATGCCATTGGCTTTTAGCTACCGCCAATTTGTTTTGACTGTTAGTAGTTCAGATTCTTGTAGCGAGCTTAAGCTTGCAATAAACCTTTATATTCGTTTGAACTGCCTGGACTCCTGATTTCCCATGCTTGACAAATAAATGGTGATCTTCAAGCAGAACAATGTCTGTTAATGAAATTTGAACTTAGATACAGTTTTAACTTATTTTCTCATTCATATGTTTTGGACACTACAGAAACAATTCTTGGACAACCTCAGGAAGGCGCTGGCGGGCCACAGCGGAAGTAGGCAGCTAACTGAAAGTGCAGCCATCGCTTGTGTAAAATTGTGCAAAGCATCAACATACATCAGCTGGGAAGACAATTCAGTGATTTTTCTTCTAGTGCAGTCCATGGTAGTAGATCTCAAGGTAAAAAAATAAAAGGAACTCGAGAATTATACACTGCTTTGTATGTGTGAGATTTTGAATTCTGAACCTTTAATTATTCTTTGTGGGCAGCCTGTCAGATCCTGGCTTGATATTGTGTCTAAGTTGATTAATGGTAGTTAACAGCCATTGCTTCACCTCATGAGAGTCCTGCCTTTTTTATTGAAAAAATTCCTCACGCATAGCAATAGCACTTAGACTTATGTACCGCTTCACAGTGCTTGACAGCCCTCTCTAAGCGGTTTACAGAGTTAGTGTTTTGCCCCCAACAATCTGGGTCCTCATTTTACCAACCTCAGAAGGATGGAAGGCTGAGGAAACCTCGAGCCGGTGAGAATCGAACCGCCAAACTGCAGGCAGCCAGCAGTCAGCAAGAAGTAGCCTGCAGTACTGCATTCTAACCACTGCACCACCCTGGCTCTTAACCAGTTGGTTCAAGAAAAGACTGGATAGGAAAGTAAATCTCAGAGTTTTAGAACCATTGTGTGGATTGTCCTATGGTTGCCTCTCTTTCCACCTGGGATGACATGCTGGGCTTGTGTCTGTCCATGAGATAAATATCTCATGGAAGCAGCAAGTGAAGCTAGGCAAAGTCACATCAGATACCTGTACAATTAGCACAGGGCCCCCCCAGGGCTGTGTGCTCTCTCCACTTCTCTCTATATACCAATGACTGCATCTCAAAAGATCCCTCTGAAAAGGACTGAAGTTTGCAGATGATACAACAGTGTGATTGGCCTCATTCAAGACAACAACGAATCAGCATACTGACAGGAGGTTGAACAACTAGCCTTGTGGTTTGGGCGGACCAATCTTGAACTGAACACACTCAAAATTGTAGAAATGACAGTAGACTTTAGGAGAAACCCTACTATTCTACAACCTCTTACAATACTAGACAACACAGTATCAACAGTAGAGACCTTCAAGTTTCTAGGTCAGTGGTGGCGAACCTGTGGCACGTGTGCCAGAGGTGGCACTTGGAGCCCTCTCTGTGGGCACACGTGCCGTTGCCCCAGCCTCATCTCCCACCACGATCCCCTCACCAGCAGCCCCCCTGGAAGAGAGTCACCCCCGAGCGTGGCCCACGCGGAGCAGCACAGCCAAGGACATGGCAGCCAGGCAGCGTAGACAAGACTCTGCCCTCACGTCCCATCCCGTACAGTTGATGCTGCGGGGCGTGGGCAGAGGGCGTGGCCGCCATTGCGCTGCTGGGCTGCCTGGGCGATCTGCGGCAGGCCCTGGAGGCGGTGAGTGGCCCTGTGGGCAGGCGGGATGGGGTAGGGGCGGGGGCGGGGACAGTTTTTGGGCACTCGGTCTCTAAAAGGTTCGCCATCACTGTTCTAGGTTCTATAATATCTCAAGATTTAAAATGGACACCTCACATCAAAAATGTCATCAAAAAAGTACAACAAAGAATGTTCTTCCTGCACCAACTCAGAAAGCTCAGACTGCCCAGGAAGCTGCTGATACAGTTCTACAAAGGAATTATTGAGTCTGTCATTTGCACCTCTATAACTGTCTGGTTTAGAACTGCAACCAAATAAGGCAGACATAGACTTCAACGGATAGTTAGGACTGCAGAAAAAACAATTGCTACCAGCCTGCCTTCCATTGAGGACCTGTATGCTGTACGAGACAGAAAGAGGGCTGTGAAAATATCTACAGACCCCTCACATCCTGGACATAAACTATTTCAACTTCTTCCCTCAAGACGACACTACAGAGCATTGCACACCAAAACAACTAGATACAAGGACAGCTTTTTTCCCCATGCTGTCACTCTGCTTAACAACTAATTCATACAACACTGTCAAAATATTTAGTAAAGCTGCATTACTATGATACTCCTCATCTTTTCTATTACCTGTCCTTATCTTCTTATGACTATAACTTTGCTGCTTGTATCTTACAATTTATATTGTTTGGGTTTTTTTGTACCCTAGTATGATTTGTGTTGTTTGCTTAGCTAGTACTCTATGACTATAACTAAGTGTTGCATCTTATGATTTATGATGAAGTGTTGTATCTCACGATTTATGATGAATGTATTTGCATGTTGTATATGATCACGATTATCTCTATTGTATGTACACTGAGAGCTTATGCACCGGAAACAAATTCCTTGTGTGTCCAACCACACTTGGCCAATAAAGAATTCTATGTCTATGGAGATTCTCAGTCATCCAGGTCCTGGTTGTCCCAAAGTGCTTTTTCAAAAGGCAGCTGGACTTTGTTGTTCCTTGAAGATGTTTCCCTTCTGATCCAAGAAGCTTCAGAACTGGAAAAAAAAAACTTCTTGGATGAGAAGCGAAACATCTTCAAGAAAAAACAAAGTCCAATTGATTTTTGGAAAAGCACCTTTGGGACATCCATGAGATAAATGGACATCTGGCTTAAACCAGTATGGTGACTGTATTATTATTTTTCCTACCTTTGCCTACAAGGGAATTATCAGAATCTTTGCTCAACCATCTTCTGTTGGTTCCCCATCTCTTTCAACATTGCCTAGTGGTGATTGTAATAACCGCGACCTGTTTGTTGTCTTCAAGAACCTGCTCTTCAACCCTAGCAAGCCTTTCTCCAGAGGCAACCAGAATGCAGACATAGACCTCATGATCGACTGCTTAGTGTCCTGCTTCCGAATCAACCCCCACAATAACCAACACTTCAAGGTAAGGATGTGGCTCCTTGAGTCCCCGCTCCTTAGTTAAAGGTGGTCCTGAGCATGGGATTGGACCAGACATGTCAAACACAAGGCCCAGGGGCCGGATGCGGCCCACGAAGTGGTTTCATGTGGCCCGCGAAGCCATGCTGGAAATAGTGAGGGAACGGCCCCTCTGCCTTGGCCCTGGCCCAGGCCGGCCAGGAGCCAATGTACAATTTTGTGGTGGCCATCTATGCTGAAATGCATTCAGTCTTAGCTCCACAAGGCTGTCTGGAAACAGTGAGGAACAGCACCTGCCGCATTGACCCCGCCCCCTGGGTGCATGCTGGGGAGGTGTCACGTTTGTGAGGAATGAAGAAATGTACCATTGCCTGGAAGTGGCCAGCAAATGGCCTTGGCCTACGTCACATATCCGGCTTGATGGGCTCTGCCCTGGTCCCGCTCCTTTCTGCCAGAGACCCTCAGATCTGTCCCACTCCTGCCCAGGCCCCCACAGGCACCCTTGACGTGAATGATGTAGAGCTGGCCACGCCCACCCAGTAGGCCACACCCACCCCATCCATGCCCACCCAGTAGGCCGTGCCCACCCTGGCCACACCCACCTGCCCCCCCCCAGGGCAACCGCAATGCTGATGCAGCCCTCAATGAAATTGAGTTTGACACCCCTGGATTGGACAAATGAGTCAAATATCCAGGATTCATGAAGAATCAAGAACTCTTGTCGCTCACCATTTGTTGTTCTGAAAAGTTTCAATAAATCTGTTGATGAAATCTCTGCCTTTAGGTGGGTCTGCCTTGTAGGTGGGTCTGTGTTCATGCCTCACGGTGGTGCCCCCCTTGTCCTGGTCTTGCTCATTTGCTTGCTGTGGAGATGTTGCTGGTGGGTTTGTACTTTTGATTTCCAGGTTTGTTTCTGAAGGAAAGTTAACCCCCCTCTTGTCTTTTCTAGACTTGCCTGGCACAGAATTCCCCATCCACGTTTCATTATGTGCTGGTAAATTCACTCCACCGCATAATTACAAATGTAAGTTTTGAAGTCATTACAAATTCTAAGTAATTTCCCAAGTTAGTGGCAATCTAATGAGAAAGAAAGATGAGAGTGAGGAAGACGGGAGCTATACATAAAGTTTGTCTGGGCCAGCATGATGATCTTTAAAGACTCTAATATCCCACAAGTAGAATAATTTATCCATTCAGATCCTTCTCTCTAAATTTATTCTTATCAGCTGCATCTTTTTTGTTAGAGGAGCAAAAGGTTGACTGGTAAACTGTATTATAGGGCAGAGAAAGAGACAGGACATCACCTATGATATCTGTATTTAGCATGTGGCGACATTACATTAACCAGGAGATTACAACGTTAGTACAAAATAGTTGTTTGGCTGCTGACAATTGCTAGTCCATTCAGTTCACACTCAAGCCCTTTCCAGGGTGCACCACAGGGGGATGGACTATTGCCACATTCAGAAAGGTTCAATGGCATTTTGCAGCGTGATCCAGGCTTCTCCCTCTACCGATGCTGCCTCATGCTCAAGCGTCGTATTGAGGAAGGTCCGGCACTGTCTGGATTCACGCTACTATATGAAACGCCATTATCTTCCCACTGAAGTGGTACCTATTTATCTACTTGCATGTAGCATGCTTTCGATGTCAAGGCTGCTAACATCGGATGTTCTTGCTTGACATATATGAAGAAGCAAACATGTTTTATTTAACCTGTGTATCACTTCTAGAGTTAAAGTCAGACAATGTTAGAATAGCGGGAGGGGGGGGGGAAAGTATGTACTGGGGGATAGTTAGCCATAACAATATTTNAGCTGGCCACGCCCACCCAGTAGGCCACACCCACCCCATCCATGCCCACCCAGTAGGCCGTGCCCACCCTGGCCACACCCACCTGCCCCCCCCCAGGGCAACCGCAATGCTGATGCAGCCCTCAATGAAATTGAGTTTGACACCCCTGGATTGGACAAATGAGTCAAATATCCAGGATTCATGAAGAATCAAGAACTCTGTCGCTCACCATTCGTTGTTCTGAAAAGTTTCAAGAAATCTGTTGATGAAATCTCTGCCTTTAGGTGGGTCTGCCTTGTAGGTGGGTCTGTGTTCATGCCTCACGGTGGTGCCCCCCTTGTCCTGGTCTTGCTCATTTGCTTGCTGTGGAGATGTTGGTGGTGGGTTTGTACTTTTGATTTCCAGGTTTGTTTCTGAAGGAAAGTTAACCCCCTGCCTCTTGTCTTTTCTAGACTTGCCTGGCACAGAATTCCCCATCCACGTTTCATTATGTGCTGGTAAATTCACTCCACCGCATAATTACAAATGTAAGTTTTGAAGTAATTACAAATTCTAAGTAATTTCCCAAGTTAGTGGCAATCTAACGAGAAAGAAAGATGAGAGTGAGGAAGACGGGAGCTATACATAAAGTTTGTCTGGGCCAGCATGATGATCTTTAAAGACTTTAGTATGCCACAAATAGAATAATTTATCCATTCAGACCCTTCTCTCTAAATTTATTCTTATCAGCTGCATCTTTTTTGTTAGAGGAATAAGAGGTTGACTGGTAAATTGTAATCATAGGGCAGAGAAAGAGACAGGACATCACCTATGATATCTGTATTTAGCATATGGCAATGTTACATTAACCAGGAGATTACAATGTTAGTACAAAATAGTTGTTTGGCTGCTGGCAATTGCCAGTCCATTCAGTTCACACTCGAGCCCTATCCAGGGTGCACCACAGGGGGATGGACTATTGCCACATTCAGAAAGATTCAATGGCATTTTGCAGCGTGATCCAGGCTTCTCCCTCTACCGATGCCGCCTCATGCTCAGGCGTCGCATTGAGGAAGGTCCGGCACTGTCTGGATTCACGCTACTATATGAAACACCATTATCTTCCCATTGAAGTGGTATCTATTTATCTACTTGCATGTAGCATGCTTTCGATGTCAAGGCTGCTAACATCGGATGTTCTTGCTTGACATATATGAAGAAGCAAACATGTTTTATTTAACCTGTGTATCACTTCTAGAGTTAAAGTCAGACAATGTTAGAATAGCGGGAGGGGGGGGGAAAGTATGTACTCGGGGGATAGTTAGCCATAACAATATTTCAGTACAGTATTTCCAAGGTCAGTTGTAACCAGAGGAGTTACGGGAGGGAAAGTTCACACTTCAAACTAATTGGAGAATGTGATTGATGATTGTTAAATGAAGGAGTGAGTTATGCTTTGTTAACGGTGATTGGGGGGGGGGAGGATTCCGTTTTTGGCTTCATTATGTACGTGCCGAAGCTATGTAGCAATAAAAGGATTCTTTAAGGTAAACATAGCTTCAAAGTTCTTTGAAAAGCTTCTTCTTTCGGAACCATGACATTCGAATTGCTAGGTGGGCAGAAGCTGAGGCAAGTGACGGAAGCTCACTGCCATCCGGAGCTAGGACTTGAACTGCTGAAGCAAAGACCATCTCCAGTGTCCTTAAGCCACTGAGCCACCATGCCTCCTCATGAGATCTGTGATGCAAGATGATGTCATCAAAACCATTGTGACTTGCTTTAGGAAAACTGCTGGAAGCAGTGGCACAGTCAGACATGGGCCACTTCCTTGTGAATTCCTTGCCAGACTGCGTGCCCTGTGGAATCCTCCTGTTGTCTACTCTCCACTGATATTTTTGTTTTCTTCCTCATCTAGTCTGCATTAGATTGGTGGCCCAAGATTGATGCTGTCTATTGTCATTCCGTGGAACTCCGCAGCATGTTCAGTGAAACTCTCCATAAAGCTTTACAGGGCTCTGGTGTGCATACCCCAATCCGTATGACCCCGGTGAGGCCTCGCTTTTTGTTATTTAGTTGATACAAAAGCTTGGGAAGTGCACTTGGTTGTTGTTGTTTTTTATTTGATGTTCTAATGTTGCATCCAGCGATACCCATTTGGTGGCAATTAAAAACAAGCTTCTCTCTTTTTTTCCCCCAGTGATCTTTCCAATTTAAAACCCAAGATGAAAGAACTTAGCATGTGGTGGTGGTGGTGTTCTCAGATCATAGGCAAGAGAAGCCAATATCCCATGGCTATCAGGCTGACATAAATATTGCTAGGCAATTTGGTAACCTATAAGGCAGGATTGTCTAACCATGGGAATTTCCAGAAATGGACTTCAACTCCTAGAATTCCACAGCCAGCATGATCATTGATGAGGAATCTGGAAGTTGACGTCCACATTCCTGGAAATTCTGAAGGTTTTAAAATGCTGATTTAATCTTAGAAAAAGTCTTAGCAAACAAAAACAACAGAGCAGCCGAATTCAGTTTCTAGACACTAGTGCAGTGATGGCAAACCTTTTAGAGACCGAGAGCCCAAAAACTGGCCCTGCCCCCGTTCTGCCCCCCCATCCCCAGCCCCGCCTGCCCACAGGACCACTCACTGCCTCCAGGGCCCGCCACAGATTGCCCAGCAGTGCTTTGCCGGCCACACCCTCTGACCGCGCCCTGCAGCATCAACTGCATGATGGGGTGTGAGGGCAGAGTCTTGTCTACGCTGCCTGGCTGCCATGTCCTTGGCTGCGCTGCTCCATGTGGGCCACGTTCGGGGGCGACTCTCCTTCAGGGGGTCTGCTGGAGAGGGAATTGTTGGGGGAGGTAAGGCTGGGGCAACGGCACGTGTGCCCACAGAGAGGGCTCCGAGTGCCGCTTCTGGCACCCGTGCCATAGGTTCGCCACCACTGCACTAGTGGGTCTTCCTTTCTTAATATTTTTGAAATATTTTAATTCCTGCATGGGGCAGGTTGATATGCTAATCTCGATGGCCCTTTCCATTTGTGATTCTGTGCTAGTTTCCTCCTTGCTTCTCATACAATAATTTTTCATACTATGTATCTTTGTTAGTAGAGCTGCAGACTGACTTGTTGCTTTCAGCCTGTTCAGGTGACCTCAGAATCCTTCTCTTGAGTAATGAAAGGGATGAGTTAAAGAGATATTGCATCATAATGGAAGACTACGTGGACATTCCAGTTCAGAACTAATGAAAAAAGAGACTGATTAAAAAAAAATCAGCTGTACAATTCATATTTCAGCAATAGATGTGTTAGAACGAACAATTGGTATCCTGCTGTTTGAAACAAGTTCCATGTTTGGAATATTTATTACTTTGTTAATGCTTTTATTTGTCTTAGAGTCTTACATTTAAAGAGAAAATGACAAGCCTGAAGTTTAAAGAAAAACCTACAGATGTTGAAACCAGAAGTTATAAAGTTTTGTTGTTATCTATTGTAAAACTGATCCACGCTGACCCAAAACTCTTACTCTACGTAAGTGAAAATCTGGTTGTTGTTTTTTTTTAAAAAAAGATTATGAATATACATTTTTATAAACATAATGTAACATGCAGAAGTTAAAGCAGCTTGAAGGACTTTTAAACCTTGATAACTATTTTAGATTGATATTTGTTGCTACCTGATCTGGCAAGTATGCAAAATTCAGAAAGTGCCGAATAAAAATAGTCTTGACCCTTGGAACAATTTTTTTTAAAAAACCCATAGTAATAATTTAAAAAAAAATACAAATTAATGCAATTTTAAATTTCTTTGAACACCACCTGGAGAAGCTATGTATGTTGCTTAGTGAAAATTGTAATGGGCTGTGAGAATCATTTGGAGGGACAGAACCTGAAGGGAAGGCACTGATATTAGGCAGTGGGTATGATGGTGGGATATGCTATGCTGCTGAGGAGCTGCTGAGGAGAAGCAGGAAAGAGAGGGAGAGAAGGGAAGATGCTGGGCTGGGTGGGAGACAAGTAGGCTGGGCACAAGCTTTGCAGCATAAGGGAGGGGGGGAAAGGTGACATGCACCAACCTAGCCCTAGCCCTAGTTGGACCGTAAGAAAGGCTGAGCGCCAAAGAATTGAGGCCTTTGAACTATGGTGCTGGAGAAGACTCCTGCGAGTCCCTTGGACTGCAAGGCGTTCAAACCAGTCAGTCCTAGAGGAGATCAACCCTGACTGCTCTTTAGAAGGCCAGATCCTGAAGTTGAAACTCAAATACTTTGGCCACCTAATGAGAAAGAAGGACTCACTGGAGAAGAGCCTAATGCTGGGAAAGATGGAGGGCAATAGAAGAAGGGGACGACAGAGAATGAGGTGGCTGGATGGAGTCACTGAAGCAGTAGGTGTGAGTTAAATGGACTCCAGAAGATGGTAGAGGACAGAAAGGCCTGGAGGAACGTTGTCCATGGGGTCGCGATGGGTTGGACACGACTTCGCAATTAACAACAACAGCCCTACCCTCCTCATAAAATCGCTCCAGGATCTCTCCAGATTTTGTTTCAGCTGAAACCTAGAACCACCCAAAGGTTCTTGTATTTAATTTCTGCAGCTAATATGAAATCAATCAATCCATGCATGTTATACTGCCACCCATCTCATGGAAAGTGACACTGGGAAAAGGATCTAGAAGAGGACGGTTTGTTTTAGAACTGGACAAAATGTCCTTTTGTTTTGTGTACGTCCCTGCGGGTCTACAGTTGCAGGAAGAGGTTGTTGTAGCTAGAAACGGTACAATCATCTATTGAACCTAAGGGAGCAGTTACTTCACACAGATTGAAGAACTTTGTTTTTTCCCAAATGAAACAAGCACCAACTTGTTTCCTACCCATTTATTCCAGCTCCTTTTACAGATCTACACAAAGTTCTTAAAACAGATTCAAAAAAATTCGAAAGGAGCAAACGGGTATTCCAGACGTGGAGGTCACAAAACATATAATGCTTACCTTTTGATTTGTAACACTTCTTTTAATTTGTGGCACATATTGATGTAGAATCCCATCCGAGGCAAATTGCAGCAGTTCCATATAGATCTTGAGACCTGTTTCTAGCCTTTAGAGTCAAGCTATCTAATTTTTTTGATTTCCAGTGGCCGAGTTTCAGCAGTAGACTATATTGAATTAAAGCCTTTAAATCACAGTATGTGAATAGATTCTTACTGATCACAAACCCCAGGCAAAACCAATTCAACCAATTTTGTGTAGCTCCTTTCATCTTCGTAGAATTCAGGGGGCAGTTCTCACTGTCTACGCTGCCTGTCTACGCTCACTGATGAACAAATGCTTCAGCATCTCTGTCTTTTCATACAGAATCCAAAGAAACAGGGGCCTGACACCCAAGGAAGCACGGCTGAACTCATAACGGGCCTTGTCCAGCTTGTCCCACAAGCCAGTATGCCAGAAATAGCACAAGAGGCCATGGAGGTAAGGAGACTTAATTGGTGTTTACATTCAAGCTACTGCCTGGAACAGAAGGGGATTGGGATCTTCTTATTCAGTTAACACATTTCTAAAGCGTCGGCTAGTTTGGTTTTCCAGGTGGTGTACACATCTCTTAAAAATACAATATGAAATAAACACATCTACAAGAACAGCAACTGTGAACTCAGCAGGTGAAATTGCACAAGGATGGCGTTTAGTAAATGGCTCAATCTGAATAAAAATATCTCCATCTGGCATTGATACCAAAGTCCAATATCACTTATGTTGCTGATATAGTATCTATTTATAATGTGCGGATTTTTAATTCAAATTTCTTAATAGCAGCAACACAACCCCTCCCCACTCCACCCCGGCCAGTTTTTATATTACATGGAGGAATAATTTTGTTATGAATAAGACCTCATATCTTGATACTAGAAACAAACTTCTGGCCATAGGGCTTATTTAGATGTCTTGATTCTAAAGAACAGCTTCTCCATCTCCTTCTCTCCCAACCTTTGAATTTGGGTCTGGCTCTGCATGATGATTCTCTAGAAGTGCATAACTTTTCCAGGATATATGAAACCTTGGAGTGGGGTCCCAGGGATCACACGCCAGAAAGTGGCTGGGAGCCAGACAAAAGGTCAGTTTTAAATAAATGTTAAGTTCATGAAGTTTGGCCAACGTGATTATTCTCCTGTTAATGTGCTTTGTAATTTGGTATAGTGATTAACATGTTAGATTAAGACGGAGCTGAGTTCAAGCCTGTTGCTGACCAGTGAAAGTTTCACTAGGTGTCTTTGGGCCAATCATATTCTCTCAGCTTAGTGCAGCCCACCAATTTGTTAATTGGAATAATATCAGGAGTACTGTATACGCTGTAAATTGAAGACAAATGCACATATCCAAGAGCAATAAAGTTCCTTCTCTAATCAAGATCACGTGAAGTATTAATACTACTTTAAAATGCCTTGGTAAGGCCACACTTGGAATACTGCATTCAGTTTTGGTCACCACGATGTAAAAAAGATGTTGAGGCTCTAGAAAGAGCGCAGAGAAGAGCAACAAAGATGATTAGGGGACTGGAGGCTAAAACATATAAGGAACGGTTGCTGGAAATGGGTATGTCTAGTTTAACGAAGAGAAGGACGAGGGGGGACATGATACCAGTGTTCCCATATCTCAGGGGCTGCCACAAAGAAGAGGGAGTCAAGCTATTTTCCAAAGCGCCGGAAGGCAGGACAAGAAGCAATGGGTGGAAACTAATCAAGGAGAGAAGCAACCTAGAAATAAGGAGAAACTTCCTGACAGTTAGAACAATTAACCAGTGGAACAACCTGCCTCCAGAAGCGGTGAATGCTCCAACACTGGAGGTTTTTAAGAAGAGACTGGACGGCCATTTGTCTGAAATGGTATAGGGTTTCCTGCCTGAGCAAGGGATTGAACCAGATGACCTCCAAGGTCCCTTCCAACTTTATATTATTATTATTATTATTATTATTATTAATAATAATAATAATAATAATAATAATAATAATAATAATAATAATAATAATAATAATAATAATAATAATAATAATATTTCCTGGCTCAGGAATTCTGGGAGTTGAAGTCCACGAGTCATAAAAGAGCCAAGGTTGCCTACCCCTGCCCTGGTCTAATCTTTTTATTCCCACAAATCTTCTGTCCAGGGTTATGTTCATGCAGAGTCTTTTTGTATGTTTATGCTTCCAGGCCTTGCTTGTGCTTCATCAATTAGACAGCATTGACTTGTGGAACCCTGATGCACCCATCGAAACGTTCTGGGAAATCAGGTCAGTTCAAGACTCACCACTGACTCCTTTTCCTGGACTTTGTATCACAGCCAGAATTCTTAAGCATAGAAAAACAGCAGCTGAGCCACTAATCATCCCATTCAAGGGATTAAGAGTGGTTGCATCTAAATGGTGTTTCCATAGAATAGCAGGACAATAAGGCAGTATTTTGATTCAGCAGACAAAACAAGATGGTAGGTAAAAAATTAATAGAAGAGGATATTTGTAGCTCAGGGTTGGACTGTGGAGTACTTGGTCCTCTTTGAGCTTGGTTGTTTTTTTTGCAGACATTTCATGACCCAACTAGGTAACATCATCAGTGCTAGAAGGGAGTGGGGTTTGCTGCAAACTAGCAAACTACAAATGATGATGTTACCTAGTTGGGTAACAAGAGCACCAAAGACCCCACAGAAAAAAGATTGTCTGCCGAAACAAAGGACTGCCTAATATATTTTTTTTAAAAAATTGCTGTCTGTTGCAAAATAACTAACCCATATAAAATGTTTTTGTTGCAAAATAAGCAACAAATGGGTGCCAGTTGAGCTTTGTGAAGCAACCCGTTCCATAATTTGGGGACAACTACGGAGAAGACAATTTCATCTTTTTCTCAAATGCTTCCTTTCCAAGGCCTCTTCATCAGTTCCTGGGGCCCAGGAAGATGGATCTCTAAAATAACCTGCACCCAAAGAATTTGGGGCTTTTGAATGTTGCCACCCATTTGTGCTTTCAGATAGATTGGGGACTTGGGCAGTGTTATAAGGCAGGCCTGTGTCCATTAACACCAATCCTGCTATTATTTGGTCAGATTGGAATTTCTGAGAATTCCTCAATTCTATTATAAGGTATATATCTGCAATAGTGGACAATGTGTTGTTCGGGAGAGATTCAGTTGCTGTCTTGGTTAGTGAAGGATAGTCATGCCAATGCTTGAACAGCTGCCATTAAGCTGAGTCTAGGAACTTCCAGATCACGAACCTGATTGTTTTTGGGAAAAGTCTCATCTGGGGATAATCGCATTCTTGCTATATAGCTTATCTCCCAAACATAAAACTATGAATTACATAATGTGTTAAATGAAACTGTTTTTTGAGCAGCACCCTGAAGATTCTGATAGACATCTGCCCCCATCTCCCTAAAGTCAGAAAACCAAAAAAATTGCTTAGGATCCTGGAATTCTGCACGGGACAAAACCTCCATCAGAATATTTGGGATCCAGACCCAAATAAACTTATCTTTCATGGACAAAGGCGAAATTCTGCTTGCTAACCAATGCAGTGTTTTAGAACAAGTGTACAAGTAGTTCTCAACTTATGATCATGATTAAACCCAAATTTTCTGTTGCTAAGCAAGACAGTTGTTAAGTGAATTTTTCCTCATTTTAAAGTCTTTCTTGCCACATTGTTAAGTGAATCACTGCAGTTGTTAAATTAGTAACATGGTTGCTAAGTGAATCTGGCTTCCCCATTCTGACTTTCTCAGAAAAAGGATCACATGCCCCTGGGATACTGCAACCATGATAAATATATGCCAGTTGCCAAGCACCCAGATTTTGATCACATGACTATAGGGATGCTGCAACAGACATAAGTATGAAAAATGGTCATAACTCACTTTTCCACTGCTGTTGTAACTTTGAACAGTCATTAAACAAATGGTTGTAAGTCAAGGACTACCTGTAATATGTTTTTCCTCAGTCTAAAGTCATCAAACTTGTGTACCAGTTGTAGTGTTCTGTATTACACTTTTCTCCCTATGAAGTGCTCATCTTAGCTCTGGAGGGTGTGGGTTGCAATATACACAGCTGTATTATGAGGACAGCTATGTATTGCTTTGCAGGTTACCTATTTTTGAAAAATCTTTATGTTCTAAAAATGAGAAGATGACAAAGTACGTTGCTATAGATTTAATGTCAAGCTTAGCAACTGAATTAATTTCATGTAGGTATTTATATATCACATGGAATGCTTTAATGTTAATTGGGGACGGGGGTTGTGTTTATTTTCTTTTCATCAAAATAACCTATTTTGTAGACTTTTTGGTATTTTTTGGTATTTTATTTTTTTAACAAATACAATTAATTTTTAAAAGGGTTACAAATGTGGATTCGTGGGAACTCCAAACTTGTAGAAGAAAAACATGGAGTGCATCTGTTACCTTTTTTTCCTCTCCTCCTTTTTCCTTCTCTTGTCACATTCTTGTGCTACAGCCTTAAGATACGCTGCAGCCTTAAGATACTGACAAGGATACTTTTGAGATGAAAAATATGTAAAATTCGGTGCACCCAGTATTTATCTAATAGCTACTCCTGCCAATTTTTCATAAAAACAAAGAATGCAGGATGTCTTTCAGACACTCATGAGGTGTGTTTTGTGATTTCACCTCCAGAAACAATTCTCAACCTTGGCACATTGGGGTGAATTATGGGCGAAACTGCTTCCTTCTAGTGTTTTGTATAAACATTTATACACTTGTGAAGATGTTATTATTTTGTACTCAGAACTTTGAACCCCAACTTTGGGTCTGCAAAAAAGGATTGAGCAAATTAAGTGTTTTCCTGGGGTAGTGGGATTTGGAAGGGAAGCAGACAAGACTGTGCAGAACTGGGGGAAATTGTAAATTGTTGTCATGATAATTGCGTGAACAACTTCCTTAAAATGTTGCCTTGGACAGTACAGAATGCTCTGATTGATAACTGACAGATTGTGGCTGTTTTCTTATTTGCATGTTCCTGAAGTTCACAAATGCTATTTTGTATATGCAAGAGACTAACGAGCAATCAGATTCTCAGCAGCACGGAAATCCTCAAATGGTTGCGAGAGATTTTGATCTGCAGGAACAAATTTCTTCTGAAAAACAAAGTAAGTGAATGCCTAAATCTCAAAAAGGCTTGCAGTTAGGGCTTGTTGCTGGTTTGTTCCACTTAACTGGAAGCTTGGAAAATCATGGAGAGAAAATTTGACTAGCTCCAGCTATTTTTAACATTCTTGCCCAGTAAAGGAAGTGAACATGTACCACAACAGTTTTCTTAACATTGTGAACTAGATTCTATCTCCTTGGCAAGAAAATGTAAATCTTTCCTAAAATCTTTGTTTCTTTTGTTGCTCAAGATATTGCTACCCTTTACCTCTTCTACATCTGCTTGGGGAGTTTGAATTTTGAGTAATCCTGTGTACCAAAGCACACTATTTGTCTGTTAGTGTCTGTTAGTGTGTGATCCTGTCGGACATTTACACATTTAATATACTTCTATAAGGTGTTCATATATAATTCTTCAGGGTCAGTTGTCTTTCGAAATTGTCAATCATCCAGATCATGGTTGTCATGTTTTTCAAAACACAACTGGACTTTCTTGGTTTTTTTTTCCTTGGAAAAAAAATGGCTTCTTATCCAAGAAGCTTCTTTAGTTCAGAAGAAGAAACGGAAACATCTTGGATAAGAAACAAATATTTTCCAGGGAAAAAAAACAAGCAAGTCCAGTTGCCTTTTGAAAAACACCTTTTGGACAGCTCTTGGTTTAGGACACGGGTAGGCAACCTCAGCTCTTTTATGACTCATGGACTTCAACTCCCAGAATTCCTGAGTCAGCATAGCTGACTCAGGAATTCTGGGAGTTGAAGTCCATGAGTCATAAAAGAGCTGAGGTTGCCTACCCCTGGTTTAGGAATTGGCGGTCACCCATGGAGAAAGTATTTTGTTGATTGTATCAGGGACCAATTTGATTTTTGTGGGGAAGAATTTCAGCTTTGAACAGCTCAGATCCCTACTAGGAGGAGTAAAATTCACTAGGCAACCCTAGACCAGTTACCATTTCTCAGCCTCCCCTGTGTAGGTAAAATAGGTGTGGTGTTCACCTAATAACTGCTGCAAAAAAAGGTAATAAAATCAGGCACAGGCATGTGGTGATCCACTTAGCACACAACGTACGACGTAATTCTGAGTTCCAATACAGTTGTAACTCGAGGACTGCCTGTATTGCATGTAAGCACAGAGGACTGGCAGCAAATTTGTTTCAGACGGTATGAAGTGCCCACATACCCAGCATGTACAGCAAGTATGAGCTTTTCTCCAAAGATAAACAAACCAGTTCCCTGAAAAGAATCCCTTATATGGGTGTTAAATTTCCAGCCCTCTCATTTGAGGACTCCCCTTTTGTGAAAAATATATATATATCAATTTTTCAAGTGTTGTTCATATTGCTTTTACTCTTATTTACAAGTATTTTCTCTCCTTTGATAAACGTAGGGCCACCGGCCACCTTTCTCTCCCCTCCCACGTTTCTTTGGTGTTTTTCATTCCTTTCAAAAGTTGGATGGCTTTTAAATTCTTCTTCTTCTTTCTCTTTGTAGCAGTCAGATAGAAGCTCCTGCCCTTTTCTCTTCCTTTACGGGGTAGGATGTGATGTCTCTGGAGGTGGAGCTAATCAAATTTCTCTTGACCACGAAGAGATGATGCGCTGTATCCCAGGAGCTCCGCTCAGGAAGGGCAAAGGAAGTTTCTGCATGGTGAGTAAAGGGAGAGTTGGCCCCGTGGAGTGGTATTTAGCCTTAAGCTTTCTTTTGTGGCCTACAGCAGAGGTCCCCAACCTTTTGGGCACCAGGGACCGGTTTCGTGGAGAAAGTTTTTTCCATGGACCGGCGGGGGCGTGGTTTTGTGTGCTGCCTGCATCCCACGGATGGGGCTTTGCTTGTTTGTGCAGACCGGTTGCTGGCATGCTGTGGCCCGGTACCGGTCCACGGACCGGGGGTTGGGGACCCCTGGGCTACAGGCAGTCCTTGACTTACGATCACAATTGAGCCCCAAACTCATGTTGCTATGTGAGATAGTTAAGTGAGTTTTGCCCCATTTTACAACCTTTCTTGCCACAGTTTTAAGTGAATCACTGCAGTGGTTAGTGATGAAAAATGTCACCTTGAAACATGTGCCCGACTAGAAAACTCTAGGCTGATCTCATACACCCTGTGATTTTCAAGAGTGTGGTTAGACTGTGAAAGTCTTCCTGTTCGTTGTGGATTTTTTTTTCTTTGTGTAGCTTTTTTGAGTGAACCCTGTCTTGGCAGCTTATTCGATAAATTATACAGGTAGTCCTCGACTTACAACCATAATGGAGCCCAAAATTTCTGTTGCTAAGTGAAACAGTTGTTAAGTGAGTTTTGCCCCATTGACTGCTTGTCAAATGACCTTTCTTGCCACTGTTGTTAAGTGAATCACTGCAGTTGTAGAGTTAGTGACACGACTGTTAAGCGAATCTGATTTCCCCATTGACTTTGCTTGTCAGAAGGTTGCAAAAGGTGATCACGTGATTCCCTGCAACCGTCATAAATATGAGTCAGTTGCCAAGCGTTTGAATTTTGATCAAGTGATCATGGTGATGCTGCAATGGTCATAAGTGTGAAAAAAGGTCATAAGTCACTTTTTTCAGTGCCGCTGTAACTTTGAACAGTTGCTAAGTGAACTGTTGTAAGTTGAGGACTACCTGTAGTTACACAATCATACTACTCGTAAACAGTTACTCTCCGTATTTGGGGGTTCCAGCTCTCTGGCTAAACTCTTGACATTGACCTAGGTTTTTTTATATTTGTTCCCCACGGCATTGTGGGTGTCCCGTGCTGGAAGGATTTTTATATATCTAATGTCTTACAATTACGTACAGAATATGTTCAGCTTTCAAAAGAATAAGTTGGTCCCAGCTTTCTACAATTGGCAAGTAGGTAATTTTATTAATTTTCTGCCTCTTCCTTAGTGAGAAGCAGTCATGAATTATGGCAGCTTTTCTCAACTTGGTATCCCCTAGGTCAGGGGTAGGCAACCTTGGCTCTTTTATGACTCGTGGACTTCAACTCCCAGAATTTCTGAGCCAGCATGGCTCAGCATGGAAACCTCTCCCTTTCCCCTCAGCATGGCTGGCTCAGGAATTCTGGGAGTTGAAGTCCACGAGTCATAAAAGAGCCAAGGTTGCCTACCCCTGCCCTAGGTGTGTCTTTTGGAAGCAAAAAAAATGTACCCTCCAATCATGTTTGGTTCCCTAGTTTTTGCATCTAGGGATTGTTTGTCTTGGTGTCATCATGGAAATGACTTGCAGGCCTTTTTCCAGGATGCTTTTTCCATTTCTCAGTGCAGGTAGTGCTCAACTTAAACGGTCTACTTACTGACCATTTGAAGTTACAATGGCACTGAAAAAGGGGACTCATGACCGTTTTTCACACTTATGACCATTGCACCATCCCCACGGTCACGTGATCATTCAGACGCTTGGCAACTGACTCACATTTATGACAGCTGTAGTGTCCCGGGGTCATGTGATCACCTTTTGCAACCTTCTGACAAGCATTTCATTTTCATTTCATTTATTCGATTTGTATCCCGCCCTTCTCCCGAGGGACTCAGGGTGGCTCACAACATTTTAAAACAGAAACAAACCCACAATCCCCGCCGAATAAAACCAATTAAAACCCAAATATTTTAAGTTGTGATATTTAAAATTTTCTAAAAATGAACCCGATTTAAAATCCTCCCTAGGCCAGGCCCGCTTGTTGGAAAAGCCATGTCTTGAGGGCGCGGCGGAAAGTAAGGAGATCCGGAATCACCCGGATCTGGGGGGGTAGTTCGTTCCAGAGGGCGGGGGCACCCACAGAGAAGGCCCTCCCCCTGGGGGTCGCCAGCCGACACTGCTTGGCCGACGGCACCCTGAGGAGACCCACTCTGTGGGCGCGTACCGGTCTATGGGAGAGAA